ACGTACCCTGCTAAAACCGGTCTCAACTTTTCAAAAATATATTGATATTACTTACAGTATAGTTACACTGAAAATAAATTTAATTATTGACAATATTATTGCCGAGGAATTTTTTTAGATCGATATTTATTATCCACTTTGTTGAGAAGTTATTATACGAAAGAAAATAAATGCGTCTTCTGTCAAATATAGTATATATATATTTTCTTTGTTGATACATCTGCACCTGCATGCATCATACCTGCCTGTGACGCTGAATGTCTCAAAATTATACTAATTAACTAACTCTCCTTTTCTCTCGCTATCTCTCCCCTGTATACATACATCAATACATAAAGCTCCACGACGCCTAATCTTGAAGTCTCTTTGCCTTCTTACTACCCTTCAGGAAACTTTTTTCCTTTTAAAAGGAAACACTATGTATTGGTATGATACAGTTTGAAACAAGTATATAAAAATTAAGGAAATAAAACTTTCATTAATCGTTTAATTTTTGAATTTACAACTGAGTGCAACTTAACATGATCTACCGGAGATATTCAATCAGACACACTTTTTTGAAATTATTAAAACGTGTTTGAAAGCAGTTATAGCAACGTTTTGTTGGGGAATAAGTGATTTTTTAATAAACACTTTGCAACGGTATTAAAAATTAAACAGTACTTGATCAAATTATTTTAAAAATTCAATAACATCAACATAGAGAAAAGTTAAGGTCGGTTTTGGTAGAACACACGTTAGTAAGAGATAAATTATTTATATTTCATATGTTTGTCGGGTGCTTGAATGACTGCTTCGAATAACCACTGGCTACTATTGACTAATTTCATTTCATCATGCGAGAACATAAAATTTAATGATATGGACAAAATACGAGTAATTACTTCTAGTTTTAATTTGTACAGTCGAAAATTACAATCACATCTCAATATTTGCTTTTCTTACTATTAATCGATTAATAGCAAATACTCATGCAGTTATCAACAACCTATTTTTGTACATTAAAGAATGAATTAAAAAAATACAAATAGTAACAAATGTACAGAATTGGTAAACAATAACTGGCGGAATGGTCATATCTAGAGAATTATTGCATCGAATTAATTTTCAAAAATCTGTTTAGATTTTTCTGTTTCATTTTTGTATTCAACGGCTCGAAATGAGTCAATTTCCTTTTCTTGCTTGAATGGCAAGACATATTTGTTCTGTTTCAAAAGTAATGAAATGAACTTTAATCAGCAAAAGTGAAGAGTGCCATTCTTTATATTACCTTGCTTGAAACAAGATATTTTTACCGGATGAGGCACAGTGGCGTGGCGTGCTTTGCGATATGTCAATTGATTTGCCATTTAAACCTATGGAAAAGGATCGATAAACAGGTGTTCGCAACGAACACCGTAATGATCGATTCTTTATCGTAGCTTCAAATGGGGAAATATCGATAATCGACCATTCACGCCTCGCCACTGATAAAGCACGACGATTGGAGAGGAAACACTTGTGTCAGTAATAATAAATTGAAGGAGTAGGGTATGCAACCACCCTATCGCTATATTGAAATTTTTGCGAATCGATCGCGTAAATATCAGGGAGGTGTTAGAATCCATCGAAACTATTTTGATTGCATAATATGTGAAGTTTTGAAAGAGTTAATTTTACTTTGGAAGAGGGTCAACTAATTGATTTATTTTTTATTTATTTAAAATAACTCAGAACACAAATGAATCATCACGAGCCTGAATATATGTAAATAGATTCGAAAAATACCCTCCGGGCTCAGAAAAAGTGTATCCAGAAAAATTAAGAGACAGTTAGTTTTTCTGCTGTAATTTAATTGTCTTCATTCTATCTGAACTTCTGAAATCTTAACTGAAGTTCTTAGTTTTTGCACAAATTTCACAAGATTCAGGATGCATACCAACTGTCCACAATTATGAATATCTTTATACTTTGACTCTCTCTTTAGTCCTCCATTGATGGCGTCTCCTCGTTTGAGTCCCCTTCTCTTTTATCAGAGCTACTCCGTACCTCCCCCAAAAAATCACTGAAATGCAAAGATACAGTAAGCAAGCCGAAGACCTTAAATGTCACTTAGTAACGCTTTTATTTCGCGTTCTATAAAACATACTCAGCATTTGATTGGACATAGCTCCTTTTTCTCAGAGGGCAAATTAAAAGGCGCCGGTGGAGGTCGAAGGAAGGGAGAAAGGAAAATTATCTCCCTGTAACAAAATTGCAAGGTGTATAATTTGTCAAACTTTTATTTGACACCTTTCCTGAAGATAAGGGAAAATGCTTGTTGTCTCCCTCGTAACCCTTCCGGTGTTCGTGACAAATTATGCCTTCCCTCAAAAAGAGGTTGCAAAACTGAGCCCAAAAAGCATTTCAGATGAAGCAAACGATTTCATCACCATGTTCAAATTTGAATTCATTTTTTCCATGTAAGTGTTGACTTTGAGTGAGCAGCAATAGAATAAATATGAATCATTAAACTGATTCTTTCTTATGAGAAGTCAAAACACCGTGAAAGAAAATAGAATACTTTTAGTTCACAGTACATGGCTCTAATTGGCCACTCATTATACAGGTAATAACTCTCGTCCTTTTCAGTCAGAATGACTTTGCCTGCATTGAGGGAATCACATATTTAATCTAAAGCGAATTTGCGAAATTTGAAAAAAAAATTGATTTCTAGAATTAGATCATTACTGCTCCCTTTGGTATCATGGTAGCACACTGTGAAAAATATGGGTGTTTTTGAGGTACCATTGTTTAAAATAGGGAATAAAACACAAGCTATTCCAAATTTTGAGCTGATTTCGGTGCAATGAGCGCTTAATTTAGCACAAAAAACAATGAATTCCTGGGAAACTCTAGAGTCAACCAAAAACTTCCTTTACTTTGTGTTCTATTTCCAACGATGATCTAACCAAGTTATTTTCTAGTGGAGGGTACAGTTCAGATCATATGACAAACCATTTTTATTAGAACAGAGTTAAAGCAGTGCTCTCATTTTCCGGAACTTAATTACCGAAATTCGGAATTTTTTAAATTTTCCTGAATTTTTCTAGGAACTTTTGAAATTCCCGAAATATTCCGGATCTTTTGTATTTTCCGTAACTATGAAAAAAAAAAACCTGTATGAAAAAAATCTAAAAAGAATCCCAGAAATTTTGACAGTCATGGAGTGAGAGAAATTGGAACACAGAAATTCCGAACCACGGAGCTTTTAACGGACGTGGAATGAGAGCACTGAGCTAAAAAGCGAGGTTTTAGCACAAACTGGCACGATAGTGCTCCAGAACCTTAAATTTCTTTTGTGTTCACCTGCTTCAGTTCACCGGAAAATTCGGCAAGGGGCGAAACGAAGGGTTGATACGGCTGCGACCTCTCGGAGGTCTAGCTCAGGGCTGTTTGACACTCAATTCGTCGCCCATCCGACGCAACGGCGTATCCCAATTTCCACGTGAGCCTTGTTTCCCATATAAATCCGTGATTTTGGAGGCTCATGTGGGAATCGAGTTACGCCCTCACGAATTTCCCGTCTTTCCCGCTCGAGGAAAGTTTCCAATTTATCTCCGCGCGTGAGACCCCCAAACGTCTCGATTAATTTCTACGCGAAATAATTGAATTTTTGAGTCGCTCTTTGATCGCATTGTTTTTCCGGAGCATCATTTTTCATCGCGAGGTTCCGACGTTAAATATTCACTCCGCTCGAGGCGCGAAATACAGGGTGCTTCATCGTGATCGAGAGCGGGTGAGTTCCTTGAGAGTAATCGGAAAATAGGGGCACGGCTTTTCCCGGGTAGCATTTTTCAACGGAAAAATCGCGATCTAATGCAGTGCTCCCAATTTCTGGAACTAGTACCAAATTCCGGAACTTCTAGTATTTTTCTGAATTTTTCCCGGAACTTTTGAAATTCCCGTAATGTTCCGGATTTTTCGCATTTTCCGGCACAGAGAAGAAATAAGGAAATCAATTAGACTGGAAGTAGAGGCGAGTTCTGCAATTCTATTATTGATCTGAAACGTCTAATTTTTTTGGCCATTATTGATAGCATACGTTTAAGATAATGCAACACGCGAGGAAATTTTCAATAGTCTAGAAATGGGGGGGGGAGTTTATGATGTACCATTATTCTATTTTTAAAGATACTGTTTTGCCTGTATTAAGAAATGAAAGGGATTGGTTCCTAAATTGTAATTATACGGAGGAATTATGATAAGAATGAATCATAGAAAAAACTGGAATGAATAGTTTGTGATTCTCCGATAACTTTAAGAATAATTCGTAAGTAAGATTTCTGCATAAATTAATTCCCACGTTAAAAATATGTTTATAACACAGAATATGTTCCCACGCTTCATGAGAAATCAGTTTTGAAACTGAAATACCATCAACAGGCAAATAAAGTACATTTTAGTAAAAAAAGGATTGGTTAGTACCCATTTCTATGTTTATACTTATGGGTTGTTACAATTATGATTCCAAAAGATACATTTTCCTGTTCATTATTTCCAAGACTTAAAACAAATAAAAATAACAATTAATGTTCATGCTTACCATATGAAAGCATGATTACAACTTCTAAAAATGGGTTTCATATTTTCCCGAGACACTCAATCCTATGAAATGGAAAATAAGCAGCGCATTCCTCGAATTCAAAATACAATTTCGAGGAATAGATAAATTATTTTAAAGACAGACTTAATTTGAGATCTTCCGGCAAGATATATAGAAATGCTCATGGTACTTTGAAAATATACAAAATAAAATTGATAACAAACAAATGAACGTACAATGATAACAACAACAAAAATAATAATAAAAAAAAAATAATGGAAAGCATACTTGAACTGAAAATAACAAAAACTTTGGTAGGACAAATAATAATAAATTCATTTGGTAATTTTACAGGTAAATGATTCACAGCTCGAACAAATATAGTGAGTTCACCTAGAAGTGGTTGAGAGGGCGGAACTTACAATCAGAATTTTTCGCATCATATAAGAAGGAACAGGGTATGAAGGGGTGTTACACCATATCTGGACATTTTTGGATCTCGGTTTTGCTTTCTCAAAAAACACAACCACACTTCCAGGATTTGTATTCATTAAACTTAACTTCTAATAAACGTTGACTAGACTATTGAAGACTAGATCTTGGTAAATTAATGAAATAGGATGATTGGCAATTGTTTGGTCGTATACTTTACAAAGAAAAGGGTTGATCTGAGCAAGGTTAAAATCATCGAATAAGGGTTATTTACTTTCTCCGTCGACGTGAAGATGCTATTTTTTACAGTTGTTTAAATCTTTGCTATTGTTGTGTAGGTACATAGTTCTCAATCAGAAGGTAGATGAAAGACCTTACGGCGTGAATGTTCTATGATATGCGTTAATTAACCTCTTTAGCATGCACGAAATACAGTAAAAAACATAGATACCTTTTTGAACGTCATTATTGCAATTTTGAACTTGAGCTCAACGTCTGAATAAGGAGCACTGAATGGCTCATCCACACAAACAAACTGAGAATACCAGTAAAGTTCAAATTGATCTAGTTTAATTATGCAAAGCTTGCATGACTTGTCAAACAGCTTGATTCTGCTAATTGTAAGATCGAAAGCAATGCTGAAACTCAAGCAGAGGTAAATTAATTATCATTCCAGCGTGATAATTCACGGCAGTGGTGATTTTGCAAGATGGCAACATTGTCTTTCTTCCATTTATATCTATCCAAAATGTGGAAGAAATACAGTGTTGCCAACTTTCAAGAATCGCCATTGACTCACGGTGATCTCCAGAAGCATGAGTAGCTTACTCCAGCCGCACAATACTCAGCATGATGCAACTACTAAACTCCGATTCCAAGAAAGCTTCTGCAAAGTAACGTTTCTACATATAACATGTCCATCTTCTAAATACTCAGAATGAAGCTATTATTCTCAGTTAGCAATGTAAATCTCCTCTCATTCCAAAAGAACTAACAATAAGAAGGTTCAGCCGCGATCTACTCAAACTTCAGGCAGAATTTACTAAACAAGTAGCCCATCTCTGCTGAGCCTTTAAGTCATCGACCCACCCATTCCGACGCCTTGACCAATTTCTTCTTGAGTCATTACATGGTTTCTCCAGAGCAAGAGTCGTGGATCAGCTGGTGTAACAGAGCGTAAGTCATCAGTCAGCTTATTCAATCAGGGTTCAAGCTGTAAGAGTTTTAGAGCAGTTCTTTTAGCAGTGCGTGAGTTACGAAGCAACTGACTTTCACGGTGTGAGCCACGGAGTAATTGACTCTCTCAGAGCGTGATTTGCTATCAAGCTCGTTTCAACCGAGTTTTGGATCAGCTGATTATTCAAAGGCGTTAAGTAGACCCTCCCGGAGACTTAAACGCCAGAGTAAGAAAAAGCGAGCATTTGCTGAAACGGGCTGGCTGGGAATGAGGAGGAGCTGGAATGAACCTCCGGATCTCCTCCTCCACTCCTTGTCGTCAACCATTCACCAGTCGTCCATGTCTCCTCCCGGGAGGAGCCCAACCGAAAACATGCTTCGCTTTGTCGATCAATTTTAATAATCAGCCTGTCGATCGTGAGCCTAGGAGCATTTTATCCAACAGAGCATGAGTCAAGAAACAGCTCGCTCCATCGGAGCGTAAGCTGATGCGATGAGAATGAACATTATTCAGGACATCATTCCGGCAGTGCGTGAGTCTTGGAGCAGCCGAACCCAGCATAGCGTGAGTCATCGATGGCGCATCGGCGTTCGGCGCTTACTTCATCTGGGCTCCCGAGTACTCGGCCTCAGGCTGCGCGTGAGTCTACGAGCAGTGCGTGAGTCATTGAGCAGTCGAGTCCAGCATAGCGTGAGTCATCGATGACACATCGGCGTTCACCGCTCACCTAATCTGGGCTCCCGAGTACTCGGCTTCAGTCTGCATGTGAGTCATGGAGCAGCCAAGCCCAGCATAGCGTGAGTCATCGATGACACATCGACGTTCATTGTCCACCTAATCTGGGCTCCCGAGTACTTGACGTCGGGCTGCGCGTGAATCTGCGAGCAGTGCGTGAGTCATGGAACAGCCGAGCCCAGCATAGCGTGAGTCATCGATGACGCATCGCCGTTCATCGCTCACCTAATCTGGGCTACCGAGTACTCGGTGTCGGGCTGCGCGTGAGTCTACGAGCAGTACGTGAGTCATCGAGTAGCCAAGCCCGACATAGCGTGAGTCATCGATTCGCCTAATCTAGGCTCCCGAGTACTCGGCCTCGGGCTGCGCGTGAGTCTACGAGCAGTGCGTGAGTCATGGATTCACCTAATCTAGGCTCCCGAGTACTCGGCCTCGGGCTGCGCGCGAGTCTACGAGCAGTGCATTTGTCAGTGCTGGGCGGCGAACTTCATCCTCTTCTGCTTCTGCCGCTGGTTGCAGAACCACACCCGGACGACGTTCTTCTTGAGGTCGAGCTTCTCGGCGATGGCGGCGATCTTCTCGCCGGAGGGCCGCGGCTGGACGGCGAAGTAGGCCTCGAGCGAGCGCTTCTCCGGGGCCGCGATGGAGGTCCGCTTCCGCTTCTTCTCGCCGGCCGGGAGCACGCTCGGGGCGTCCGGGTCCCGCCGCTTGTTCTTCGCCTGGGCCTCCGCCTCCTCCAGCCACGCCTGCAGGATCGGCTTCAGCGCGATCATGTTGTTATGCGAGAGGGTCAGCGACTCGAACCTGCAGATCGTCGACTGCGATAGAGCCCCGACGCCGGGGAGTTTCAGGTTCGCTAGTGCTTTGCCTGTGAACAGTGACAAAAAGTACGGGTTTGTTATTCAGTATTTTTTGAAAGCTAAAAGTGAATGGAGAGTCTTTCGATCGGATGCAGTGTATTTCATGATAGCGGGCTGATTATTGAAATTAATGGACAAATATATAGACAAAAAACAAATAAGGAGTATGGATGGAGCAATCCTATTGGTTGAAATGGGTGGTTCCTCAAATTATCTCAAAACAGAGGGAAAAAGCTCATTCGAGCACAATTTTCCCTCAAAGAGCAATCAGCAAACAGCATATCTCTTTGAGGGAACATTTTTTTTTGCTCGAATGAGCTTTCTCCCTCTGTGTCGAGATTTTCAGTTTACTGAATTTTAACGCACGTTGGCTACATTTCCAACTTTCTGTCTAAACCACTCCTGCAACAACCGCAACCAGTTTGTAAATTAAGTACACTTTAACGCCAAAGGCTGGCTAAGCTGCATAGAACATGGTGATTGATTAACAAAAAAAATCGAACTACAGGCCAAAAATAAATTAACCAAGTAATATTTCAAACTACATGGAGATGAGAAATAATAAACAACTTACAAGAAACAAGGCAAAAGTTGTTGGCGGTCGAAACGTTTGCTTTGTTTCTTGTAAGTTTTTTAATATGTCTCATCTCCATGTAGCTTTATCACTTGTTCTACTTGTTCCTAATATTACTTGTTTAATTTATTTTTGGCTTTTAGCTCCTTATGATTTCTGGGGCTCATGCGAAAATCGAGATACGCCCTTACGTCAGAGAAGCGACGATTTGTAAATTAAGTGTAGTGATAAAGTCAAGCTAATAGCATCGTTCTCCATATACATACCTACGTCAGCCTGCGTGACACCGAGCTTGATGCGTCGCTGCTTGAACCTCTCGGCGAAGGCCTCGAGCTCGCGGGGGTCCGTGTCCGAGTCGGGGTGCTGGAGGGGGGTGGGCATGCCCGGGTGGTGGGCCGCCGGGTGGTGGTGGTGCGGCGGGGCGCCGTGGTGGTGGTGGTGGTGATGGTGGTGGCCCTGCATCATCGAGTTCATCGGGTACATGGAGGGCGTGTGGAGCTGGGGGTGGCCGTGTCCGCCACCGCCGTCCGACATCGGGGTCAGCGTCGTCATCGCCGAGGAGGAAATCGGGTCCAGCATGTCCAGGCCGTCCATCCCCGGATGACCCATCTGGAATGGAAATGGGAAGTATTAGCAAAAGTATGCGAACAAGGGAACAGCGGGCTAATTATTTAACTTGGTAGACAAAGCTATAAATAAAGTGGGTATAAAGGAAATTGGGCGACCCTAAATTATCGCAGAAAAAGTCAAACAAGTTGCGGAATTCTAAGATGGAGCACCGGCAAGGGAGAGTATTGACTTATCAGTGTAAGAACTACATAATTTGACAAGTCAATACTCCTCCTACGAGGCGTGATTTTTTCGCCATTAATTGCATTTTGACACTTAAAAGTGTCTTAAAGGGCTCACTGGTAAAAAAAGTAGCTTGGATCAAGAGTCCAGACTCTTAAAAACATTGAAAAGAAAAAGTACTCTTGATTCGATCGGATTTTTCCTTGAGTCGAAGAGGGAGGCCTCTTGATTTAAGCGGACTTCCCTTTGAATCAAGAGTATTTTTTCTTGTCAATGTTTTTAAGAGTCTGGATTCTAGGTCCAAGCTACTTTTTTTACCTATGCTTATTATTTGACGTAAAAATATTAAATAATCATTAGACCCTCGAGAGAGAGCCTCTCCCCGTTTTCTCCTCAGTTTCATCAAATGAATTAAACAACAATACCAGAAAATACAGCGTCACAAACATTATGAATGTAGGTGCTGAGGATTAATTATTTTAATGAAATACAGGGACTTCTGTCGCAAGGGTGTTTAAGAATTTTGTCTAACTTGTGGACCTAAATAATTAGCCTTATTACACTTTGAAGTGTCAAAAATTAATGCCCGTGAAAAGAGGAAACCCAAAATTAACTGATAAATGGACGTATTTCTATCAAACGGAACTAAGCGCCAATTTGAGTTCCTTTTGAGGAATTTAGAATGCCGGATAGCGCGTTCTGTCAAACGGACCTAAGCGCCATGGAAAAGCATTGCAAGTATAGGACCGAATAAGCCGGACGCCCGGTTACGCCGCCAATCCAAGCTCCCCTCTACCTCCCTCACCCTATGGCGCTTAGGTCCGTTTGATAGAAATACGTCCAAATGATGAGATCTGTATGGATCGTTCACCTTTCTTCACTCTTAAATCTCTCCAAGTATGAACATAATCGCTGATCCTAATCTCAAATTCTAGCAGCTCGACATCGGCCACATTTTTAGTACAGAAGTGGTAGATCCACCTCGAAATTTATCGAGCGCCCGAAATAAACAAAGCCCGGATGCCAACCGAAAAAACGTCAACCAGCGGACCCGAGGCCCAGCCTGAACGCCTCCAAAGAGCTCCGGGACGATAGGGGTGAAGTATCAGTGATCCACGCTCAGTCGCCAAGAACGTTAATTTAATTCCGATTGCTCCCTCCCCGCGACCATCGACCTCCAACACTTTCCCTCCTCTGACAAAACCGCGTATCTCCAACCGCAGCTGAGCCCCGGAGGACATGGGGCTATACGGATAGCAGGGCTCATGTCGTGCTGAGGGTTGTGTGAAGAGGAACGAGGACGTCTCCGCGAAGATGCGGAAAAGATGAGGCGAGGGTGCGGTGCATCCCGGCATCCGTCCTCGCGCATGCAACAAGAGACAAATGAATAATTGATCGGAATTGTTATTATACAACATAACATCACCCTTCCACCCCCGGCCCGGGCGCCGCGGGGCGGGGGGAGGTGTCCCTGGGGCCTCGGACGAAATGATTCACTCCCTCGGTCCCGGGCCGGGGTCTATATTTCATCATTAATGTCCCATTGACATCAAGTGGCTACTCTCTCCGTCTGTCGCGGCGCCCCCCCCCTCCACCCCGCCTCGCTCATTTGTCTAAGTTAAATCCCTTCGCGCATCTAGCCGCCCTCCTACTCTCTCTCCCGCCCCGTATATCGGAGGCCCCGATTTCGATTCCGCGCTACATTTGGTCCGATTCGCACGCATTCTTTCGTGCCGCGTCGCGAGTCGCAACGCTCGGGCCGTCCTGCGGGCTGATTATTCGGATTGATAGACAAAGCTGCTCTAATTCCATGTCCGTCAGAAGTCCCGGGATGCCTTTAAGATTTTTTTAATAGTTCCGAGTAAGATCCGCAAAATTCACAAGATCCGGAAAATTGAACGTGTTTGAAGGGTGGGCATTTGGGCAACCCACGAGATATCCTATAGTAAGTCCATAAATGGAGATGTTGCATGTGTGAGGAATTTGCGATTTGACTATTGATTCTTAGGTAAAATTTCGCGAAAAACACGACAGTGCCACTGGTTTTCTCTGAAATCAACTCCCAAGCTCAAAAAGAGCTCTCAAGTTGAGGCCAAAATGGAGGGGATATCCCACTCTATCCTAAGAGTCCACCTCTACAAATAGAGCTCTCCCCGCAAAAAATCGGTCACCACCTGCCTGCCGGGAGAGCCGCGGAGTGCTGCCAGCGCAAAACGCGCACTCACACCTACAAACATAAGGGGCTATTTCATGCATTGCGCAATGCTTGAAGTATCCCCTTAGGTTTGTAGGCGTCAGTGCGCGTTTCGAGCTGGCAGCACACCGCGCCGTGCCGCACCGTGCCATAAACTTACCCACAATGAAGATGTTGCATGTGTGAGGAATTTGCGATTCGACTAATGACTCTTATGTAAAGGTTCACGAGAAACACGATGGTTCCACTGGTTTTCTCTGAAATCGACTCCCATGCTCAAAAAACGCTCTCAAAGTCGAGGCTGTGATGAAGGGAATATCCCACGCTATCCTGAGAGTCCACTTCTACATCAAGACGAATTCTCCATGCAAAAATAGGGAGCAAATACACTAGCAATGATTTTTTCAGTTGTTTTCAGTTTTAGAGTCCCCAAATAAAGATGCAGCCCTGACAATGTATTTGCTCCTTATCTTCGCATGGAGAGTTTGTCTTGGTGTAGAGGTGGACTCTCAGGATAGCGTGGGAAATCCCCTCCATTTTGGCCTCAACTCGAGAGCTTTTGCTGAGCTTGGGAGTCGATTTCAGAGAAAACCAGTGGCACCATCGTGTTTCTCGCGAACTTTTACATAAGAATCCATAGTCAAATCACAAGCATCTCCATTGTTGCGTCGAACAAAATACGTCTCCACTCTCTTTGTCCATTTGAACCACGCACTTCCACCAACAGGATCGCTCAATTTTGCTTTGGTGTTCTTTTTCCATCGCTTTGTCTCGCACTCTGTGTAAATTCAACTTCATAAAATAATGCCTTTCCACGTATAGCTTACCTGGTGCGGCCTGGTGTTGGGACCCCCTGGATGAGGGTTACCCATCCCGTGGTGGTACATGACGTCATGTTTGAGCTGAGGCAGTCCGGGCCCCGACCCTGTTTGGTGTTTGCCCATGTCCACCGCGGCCAGTGCCTCCGCTCTGCTGAGCAGGCCGTCATTGAGCCCTCCGAAAAGATCACCCTGTGGACAAGCAACGGAAAAGTTTCATGATTTATCGAGGTCGAATATCATATTATCATAAAAAACTCATTTTATTACGGATATATTTAGTCAAGTCATGGAAGTTGGAAATGAGATCGTATTCGACGTCACGACCAAGAGTTAGTTAGTTTACGAAAAAGAAGATGTGGGGGTTATGTCCGAACTGTTGGATGATATGGACATTTCCAATTAATTGTGGTACTACCCCAATTTCAGGGGTCAGAAAAGGCTCTTACGGGTGGAGGGTATGGATTCGATTGACATGAATCGATCGAAAAATGAAAGCGTGAATCGATCGACACCAATTTGATCGATTAAGTTCATTCAAAAACGCCCGTGTCGATTCGATCGACATGATTGGATCGAAAAATAAAACGTGAATCAATCGACAAACGCGTGAATCGATCGACAAACCCGTGAGTAGATCGACAAACCCGTGAGTCGATCGACAAGCCCTTCGAATCAATCGAATTTTATCGACGGACTCGGTGCCGATTGATTCACGTCGATCGATTCACGTTTTCATTTTTCGATCGATTCATGTAGATCGAATCGACACCGGTCTTTTAATAATTTGTCGATCGAATCGGTGTCGATCGATTCATGTCGATCGAATCCATACCCTTCCTTACGGGTACCTTTCTAACTTCTGCCAAACATTCTCCCGATATTCAACCAATAACTCCATATACATGGAAGAAACTAACTTAGACTTAGACACGACTGTTATTGACTCGTGGCAGAGAAAAACCAGAACAGTCTGAGGACAGCAAGAATAGTGTTGACACAATAGTGGTCGCCGTATCGTGCTAATGAAAAACATCGTATCAGCATTCGGTTGTTGCCAAAATTACTCCAACAAAATACATATTCTAGGAACAAATTAGGAATATCTATCTTTGAAAACTTCCTGATATTCGAGATCAAATTGAAAATACCATTCCCTGCAGATTTATGAGAAAATATTTAAACGTCTTCCGAGATAATTCGTGTTTTATGAGAGGTAATTTGATGACGTTTGAAAGCTCTTATGACGTTCCTTCTAAGAGCGGTAGCATGAGAAGCCAGTGTCAGACACGGAACGAAATGCTCGCGTGTGAGGGAACGGCGGAAGACATCATTGTTGATTGGTGGTCATTATCGTCGTGGTGAAAAGACAGACACGTTGATTGAGCGTGTTTCTTGAGACGCACGAGGTATATTTAATAACCCTATTTCTTGTTTTGCAGAAAGCAGAGGTCGCCGTGGAAATAAGCGTGCGTGTCGATCAGAGGCACGACAGTACCTTTTAAGAGGTAAAATTAATAAATTTTTAGATTTCAAATAAAATCACGTTTTAAATATCTAGTTATGAAATAAAATAATTTAATTAAATATTGTTTTATTATTTCATAATTTAAATTACAAATCTAAACAATAACAAACTCTAAAAGTTAAGTGTTGAAGTAAGATAAATCGTTATCGTTCGTAAAGTATTTCGGAGACCTTGCACTTGAAACTCCTCACAACGCTAAATTTATTTTGGAGGGACAATTTTTCAAATTTTCGGGAGCTTTTTTTCTCTCTCTTTCTCTTCCCCCGTTTTGCCTTTTTTGGCCCGATACACAGTGCGGCATCCGTAAGAACGATGCGGACAAAAAACGGTAAAAGACACTTAACTTTAAATAGTGAAGATAGTAGCGCCGACGTAGAAAAACCCTTTGGCACTATCCAAGTAAAACACACGAGGAATGAGAGAATGTCATAACTCGGGAATTTTTGCGTATTCTCGAGATAAGTTCATTTGAAGTTAGCAACCTCGAATCAGCCCTATATTAACAATGTAAAAGCAATGTGAAACACCCAAACTTTAACTTCAAATATCTCTGATAGTCGCAAAAATTCGCATGATCTTTTTGGCAGAATTGAAGTTGGACATCTGAAGATTAAGAAAATGTAAACCACCCGGAGCATTTTGCATTTCAAGCAAGAAGTCTTCATTTGAAGTTTACGTCTTTTTCCCGTGTATTTCTTATGGACCAGTGATTCGTGAGCCATTTCCCGCCCACTTTCTACCCAAATTTGAAGTAGTTTTGAGCGAAAAATTTTGAATATGATACATCACACTGGAAAAAAACACATTGGATCTGGAGTCCCGACTCTTTAAAACATCGACAAGAAAAAGTACTCTTGATTCAATCAGAATCTAGCTTAAATCAAGAACCAAGCCGCTTAATTTAAGCGGATTTTGTTTTGATTCTAGCAAAAATCCGCTTGAACCAAGAGTATTTTTTCTTGTCATTGTTTTCAAGAGTCTGGACTCTAGATCCAATGTGTTTTTTTTTTCCAGTGCATTGTGAGTAGCAAAATATCTTTAAGATGACAAACTCCAAAAAAATATTCAGATGTCAAGTTGTGAATTGTTTATTTTTGTCCGCAGAGGGCTGCACTATGCACATGGAGGGGCCATGCCACCATCCCCTTCCCTTCGGACCCGCCACTCAATTGAAGAATGAGGATAATGAATACCCATTAAAAGAAACAAAAAATCACTTATATATGTATGATATCTTGAAAAACTAAAAAGTCGATGCTTAGAAAACCACTGGAAACGAATAACTGTTAAACATCACTGATACATGGTTGCCCCTCAATATCATACACGCGTTGCATTCCTTATCATACGTAGACTCACACATTAGAAGAAACAAAAAAATCGTCTCCCTTGATGAAAGACAATCTTCCTGAAGTCGATGATAACATCAGGGCGAATCTCCATTATAAAAGAATATGAGCCCCGTAGCCTTTCGTACACCTCAAAACTAACATAAAAATAAATTTACTTGCCCTCGAAAATTATGTCCCAACCGTTCAAACACGAGATAAGTAGTCGAAATAATAGACTCATTCTGCTGGTGGTTAACACAACGCGGATATTTACGGTCAAGTTCGCACTTCCACGTGTCATAAATGGCTCATCTTCCAATGAAAGGCTGACGCGATACGGGGCCTCCAGCGAGACTCCCCCCCTCTTTTCCCATGTCTTCCACGCGTTATCGTGAACGAGGAAATTAAGAAAGTCTTACACGTTGGGCGTGTGTGTACCGTGCCTTGAAGACCTCCCTTTTCTTTCCGCAAATCAAACTGCCTCGGAAAGAAAGGACGCGAAGTCTCGAAGACAAGTCGCCCGGACGCCCGACGTGTGAAAAGAAGGAGATGAAGGAGATAGAGAGCGATGCTGGGCAGCGATAAACCGAGCCCGGCGCCTTCCACCGTCGCGACGCAACCCGCTGCACGGGTTTTTGAAAGGAAATCCATTCAACCTCCTTTTTTTTCGCGTGCGGAGGAGCCACTCGACCCAACGATTATTTATTCATTGCTCCCCCCTCCCCCCACTTCTTCCTTCCACTCCCTCCCCCCTCCCCGGTGGGGCCCGTGTCTTCCGCTTGACGCTGGTTTCATAACGTCGAAAGATTGTTTTGATTTCTGTGACCCAAGGAGGGCTTATTTATTCTGCCCCCTCCTTTTCAGCGAGGAAAGAAAACAATTTTGCGAACTTTTTGCCCACGTGTTTTGAAGACCTCCCCCTCCCCCCCGTCCCGGTTCCGTCCTCGCTGTACAACTTGACCCGCCCTTTTTAATTCGCGGATTGTCTCTCGCTGTCGGGCCGAGGCATTCACGACGAGGAGAATGCTGCCGCGGTAAGGAAAAACGCCGTATGAACATTCGAGAGTTGCCGAATTTCCTCCTGAGAAATGTTTATTAGAGAGGAAGTTGGGCGTGTGTTTCTTTGAAATTTTCAGAAATATTAGATTAAACTGCGAACAATATTGTCCGAAATATTGGGATAAAAATATTCAACAGTTTTCCGATAAATTCGTACATTGTCAGAGGAAACTTCGTGATATCTGATGGCTCATACGGCGTTCTTCCTTAGCACGGCAGAATGATATGTGCTCCAGGCTAACAGAGTATATGCATTCTGCGGATGTTAGGTCGAGTATGCTCTTCAAACGCTTCAATTCTATTTCGGGGTAGTTTTCCTCTCCGTGATCTAAAGGCTTGGGAGCTTCTTCTTTTTGGAGACTTTTTAGCCTTTTTTTAAACCTTAGTTCGACCGGTTCGAGCCTTTTACACTCGAGACTTAATTTGACGGGCCCAAGCAATAACGCCGTGCCAGCACTGGAAAAAAAAAACACATTGGATCTAGAGCCCAGCCTCTTAAAAACATCGACAAGAAAAAGTACTCTTGATTCAATCAGCGTCTAGATTAAATCAAGAACCAAGCCTCTTAATTTAAGTGGATTTCGTTTTGATTCAAGCAAAAATCCGATTGAATCAAGAGTATTTTTTCTTGTCGATGTTTTTAAGAGTCAGGACTCTAGATCCAATGTGTTTTTTTTCCAGTGAGCATGGAGATTATTGAAAAAATATGTAAGGTGGGACGCGTTGAGAATTGAATGACAACACTGGAATAAACTCAAGCCGAGGAGGCCATACTTACGGGCTATATACACATATCGTCCGCGTTTCGGGCTGAGAGGCCGAATGTTTTGGTCGTAGCACCCGAAGCAATCGAAGCTACGGCTCCAGCACCCGGAACTTTCGGCCTCTAAGCCTGGAACGGACGGTGTGTCTAATATTAACTGCAAAGTAATAACTACAGATTAAATAAGAAAAAAGATATGATATTATGATTTTAATAATCTAAAAACTTATTTAAGTTATCTTTAATTTCACATATTAATATTTTTTATGAAATAGTTAGATTAAAATAATTATTGAATTAAATAATGATTAAAATAAATAATAATAATTTATTGGCCTGGAAAAAACGCATTGGATCTATAGTCCAGACTCTTGAAAACATTGACAAGAAAAAACACTCCTGATTCAATCGGATTTTTGCTTAAGTCAAAACGAAATCCGCTTAAATTAAGAGGCTCGGTTCTTGATTTAAGCTAGACTCTGATGAAATCAAGAGTAATTTTTCTTGTCGA